GAATTTTCCTGACTTCGTTAAACGACATGTAACAAGTTCGTGAAATCCGCTTCCTGACTGGTTTTGTTTAAGATTATTGGCTTACGAGTCTCGCAACTTGTTACCACACTAGAAGTTCGTCTTGACCAACTGCCCCGGAAAATCGAGCACTTCGTGGCAACTGCCAGCGCCCTTCCGTGTACAAATAAGGACGTGGTGCGGAACGGGTCCAGACCCGGTGCACCAAGGCGTCCCGGGGCGTGCTGGGACGCCCCAGCTCGCCCCGTGGCACGCGTCTCAGTTTCGGGGTAGCCTTCCAAGAGCTGAGACAGAACCTTCGACCAGCAATGGGCGAAGGCGAAAGACTTGGATGCAAATTTCGGCCAAGAATGATGACATGGTTAACTTTCGCCAAGCCGTTCGTCAAACCAAATTCGTAATTGATCCCTTCCCAATAAGAAGTCGCAATCATCAAACGATTTCATCGAGATCCTCGCACGACAATTTATTTAGTAACCGAATTTTCGAGAGTTCGCAAGACTTTCGCGCATGCTTGGCGCCCCAAAGCACGCCCCGAGGCGTGCCAGCACGCGTCGGTGCATCGCCTCGTCCCGGCACGCCCTGGGACGAGGCGATGCACCGGGTTCCCGTGTGGACGGAAGCTTCGAAACCCGGTGCACCGCGGTGCACCGGGGCGTGCCAAGGCGTTCTGCACCACGTCCTAACGCGTCCCGCGAAAATGCGCTCGTGCTCGAAAAGTCACGTGTTCGGGTGTATCGCGAGTAAACTTCGGACGGGATTCGGGTACAAACGCTAAGAGATTCGTGGCTCAAGACAGTTTGATTCAACGTTTAGGCGATTTCGGGTACTTACCGTGTTTGACCGTGATACATCAAATTAGACCGCAACAGAAACCACAAGCTGGATTGTCCCCGTAAAAACCACGCTGGGTCAGGCAGGTGCGAAAATAAGAGCAGCGAATTCTGGTCCACCCTTCAGACGGTCAGGCCACAGGCACGAAACTTGACACGCGCTGACAAATAAGTATTTTCACCGTTATGCATCAAATAAGACCGCAATTAAATGTACAGAAGAAACTCGTAATGAAACTGCGAGCACAAACAACCACGAAAAATAAAACTTTTTCCCAAATTCTGGTTCACGCTTCACGCACAAAAAGTCCCGTGTCAGCCCCCGTAAAATTTTCACGCATGAAAGGCCAGCAACGCACGTAAAGCCCTAGTTTGTAGTTTTCAAGTTTGTGAAACTTGTGCAATTTTGAGTGCTAAAATGTGGGAAAAAATGAATGCAAAATGAGTAATCTTGGGACGTAACAGCCACAACTGTAGATACGGGCTTTAAGTAAAATATGCGACTGCGAAAATGGGGCTTCATTATTGCTCGCACGAAACGTTTACCCCCCGAAACGTAATCTTGGGCATTTCGCACGAAACGTTTACATGGTTCGTTTTTGCTGGTGAGCTGCTAGTTGGCATGTGGATACCCCAACGCACAACGTTTTGGCAACAACACATTCGCGCCTAAAAGTTTTGGCAAACACACGAAACCACTTACGGAAATTGGCAATTGTGCGAACGGGTTGCCAGTATCACAAGCGCGACCCACGAAAGCTAAAATAACCTTTTAGGTGCGAATTTCCGTGCTAGTGCGTTATATGTATGGGGCGTGAAGTCGAATACCTCGTGAAACCGTGGACGGAAGGGGAAGCAGTCTGTATTCCCTTGCTGCACGAGGAAAGCGAATTGCAAAACCGCCGACAGGTTTTCGCAGGGGCAACATGACGCAAGGTTACGGATTTCGCAAACAGGGAAATTGGACACGAAAAATCGGAAGGCTGAGACGCCAGGTAACCAGCCGGCCTGTGCTGCGTCAGCCAGGCCCAGCCCTGGTCGGCGGTTGGCTCAGGTGGTCCCAGCCGAGCTGCGTCAGCCGGGCCAGGGCTGCGTCAGCTTTTGTCCGAGCCACGTCCGAGCGTGGCTCGGTCCCCAGCGAACCCCAAGGGTCGGCCGCCCGATTTTGTGGCAGGGTGAGTGGCCGTGTGCCCAGCCCTTGGTTTGTCGCCTTCCTGGCGTGCCCCGCGTGAGGACACCGTAACCCGGGCCCCATTACGGGGCCCTGGTTACGGAGGCCCGCGTGGGATTACGGACCGTTTTTCCTCGTTGTTGGGAGGGAGGGGAGAGGGGCACGTCCACGGTCTATGGTCAAGAAAAAGGGGGGGAGGAGGGGGGGAGGGGAGAGAGGTAGGGAGAGCACTTCACAAACTAGATCTGCCACGGTGGTGGCTATTCTTTGAAAGGAGGTGTAATTTAACGGGTACAAGTACGTTACAGGTAATCTTATAAACGACTCCGCTATACGAAGGCTCTACTGTCAAAAACTGAGCTCTAACAAGGTATTTCATGACGGTGTTGTCGAGCATCCGAAGATTCTTCCACACCCTTCAAATTGCATCTTTTGGAAAACATTTACTCCTCCCAGGGATTGCCCCCACTTCAGTGACGTATTTGTGGAAAGCACTTGACGGACCAATTTAAAGGTTCGTGGATTAGGTACGGAATTAAGCAGAGTCGAAAAATGCGGTGGGCTATGCTTAAAAAATAAGCTGTAATTTGAAGGGTATAATTCCGTGACGGGTATTCTTCTAAACGACTCCGTTATACGAAGGTTCTACTGTCGAAAACAAAGCTATAACGAGGTATTCTAATGACGGTGTTGGTCGGGCATCCGAAGATTCTTCCACACCCTTCAAAGTGTTTCTTTTACAAAAACTACCTCTCCCAGGAATTGCCCAAACTTCAGTGACGTGTTTGTGGAGAGCACTCAACAAACCAGTTTCACATGTGTGTGAATTTGGCGTGGAATCATAGCAGAGCCGTAAATCGCGGTGGGCTATGCTTAAAAACGAGTTGTAATTTGAAAGGTACAATTCCGTGACGGGTATTCTTCTAAACGACTCTGCTATACGAAGGTTCAACTGTCGAAAACAAAGCTATAACGAGGTATTCTGACGAATGTTTTGGTCGGGCATCCGAAGATTCTTCCACACCCTTCAAATTGTTTCTTTTGCAAAAACTACCTCCCGGGAATTGCCCAACTTCAGTGACATATTTGTGGAGAGCACTCAACGAACCAGTTTCACAGGTTTGTGAAATTGGCACGGAATCATAGCAGAACCGTATAATGGCGCTGGGCAATGCTTAAAAATAAGCTGTAATTTGAAGGGTACAATTCCGTGACGGGTATTCTTCTAAACGACTCCGCTATACGAAGGTTCTACTGTCGAAAACAGAGTTATAACGAGGTATTCTAATGACGGTTCTGGTCAGGCATCCGAAGATTCTTCCACACCCTTCAAACTGTTTCTTTTGCAAAAACTACCCCTCCCATGAATTGCCCGCGCGTCAGTGACGTACTTGTGGAGTGTACAACCAATTTCACAGGTTCGTGGATTTGGCACGGAATCATGGCAGAACCCCCAAATGAAGGAGGGACATGCTTAAAAATGAGTTGTAATTTGAAGGGTACAATTCCGTGACGGGTATTCTTCTAAACGACTCTGCTATACGAAGGTTCTACTGTCGAAAACAAAGATATAACGAGGTATTCTAATGACGGTTCTGGGCGGGCATACGAAGATTCTTCCACACCCTTCAAACTGTTTCTTTTGCAAAAACTACCCCTCCCAGGAATTTGCCCACACGGCAGTGACGTTCTTGTGGGGTGCACTTTACGAACCAATTTCACAGGTTCGTGGATTTGGCACGGAATCATGGCAGAGCCCCATAATGTTGGAGGGCTATTCGAAAAAATGTGGTGTAATTTAGAAGGTACAAGTGTGTGACGGGTATTCTTCGAAACGACTCTGCTATACGAAGGTTCTACTGTCAAAAACAGAGTTATAACGAGGTAGATTCATGACGGTGTTTGTCGAACATTATAAATCTTCCACACCCCTCAAATTGTCTCTATTTATACTTTTTACCTCTCCCACGAGTTTCCCATTCCCAGCCTTCGACAGGCCTCGCCAACGCGATGGTGGAGCCCACGACAACAATCCCAGGGCGGAAGGGCACGGAGTTGCTTATTGAACGTACTGGGAGGTTGGGAGAGTTGAAGTCAGGTTTAGCAGGGTTGTACTATTATTAGTAGAAAGCAGCAAAATTTGTTTCGGAATACAGCCGTCAATTACCTACCTGCCTTCCCTTCCTCCACCGACCATCCTCCCCCAGTCAGGATCCTCCCAGTCAGACTCTCAGACCTAGAATGAGGATTCGCCTCGCGGAAACGCGATCACGTTGTCAGCTCTGCCAGCAGTTTCCACGGCTCGACTCATGGAGAAATTCGCCTCACCCTGTCGGCGACGGGTGTCCCTTCCCCCAGGTTCACCTCGCCTGCCACGTTTTTGTTTTATATTTCTCAAAGTAACTGTGACGGTACGACGTCGGAGCACTAACTCGCGTTCGCGTGTTTCCCGCCCGTTGGCGCGCCTCGAGATAATGGGCTTCTCTAGCAGTTCGACCTACACTAAAGTACCAGCCGTGGACCCGACTGGGTCCGAGCGCGGTAGTACCTCACGGAAGGTTCGGTGTGCCTTCCTCGCACCGCTTTGATTCACGCTGACCAGTCTTCCTGTGCGCTGCGAGCAATTTTCCCCAATTCCTGCCCGTTAGTGGCCTAGCCTAGCTCAGTGCTGCGACGTACTATCGTGCAGAGGAGCATTTCTGGGAGTAGGTCTATAAAAGCACCCACTAATCTCTCAGGATATCTCATCATTATCCTCTGCCTCCTCTCGTACGGTAACCCGACATCAGCTTGAACATTTACTTGACCAATAGTCCTCGTTTTCGCCTCTAATTGATTCATTGCTCTTCGTTCAACGCTCATTTCCCAACGGTAACGGCGACGACGACGATGACGTTTTTCGCCACCTTCTCGCCGCGTCGCTGCTGGCTCTCCTCGTCGTCTCCTGTAAGCACGGCTTCGATATCCGTTTCAAGGGCATGCTTGCGAACCAATGCATTCATTCACGCCTTCCATTAATCGCTGTTTCTGATGCCTCTAACGCTGTTCCCCCTCGTCCCCGACTACCGCAACAGGCGCCGCTCATGGCGGCGGCGGCGGCGACGGCGACAGCGGCCGTGGGCGCGGGGGTGGCGGAGGACGCGGGTTCGAAGGCGGGCGCGGTGGCGGAGGCGGCGGGTTTGGCGGCGGGTTTGGCGGCGGGTTTGGAGGCGGTCGGCGCAATCGCATTGGGGGTCTGGGCACCCGCGTGGGTGAGTCAGACTAGAGCGCTTCATTCTCTGTCTTGTTGAATGTTGAATTGTTAGCTTGCACGGTTGATCGGCGCATAGCCGGGCATCAGTGGTCATCAAAGCTGATGTATGCTCGCCTCTCAGTCACCAACCCTCGCCTCCTGCTCCATTCCTCCATGTCAGATGAACCCCTTCTCCATTCTTCCTGCCCACATCCCTCCTGCTCCTCATCCCTCCTGCTCCTCATCTGTATCTTTCCTCTTTCATCCCGCCTGCCTCTCATCCCACCAGGAGCGGTGGTGGCGAGGCTGAACGGCACGGAGGTCACGAGCGCTGCTGGCGATGAGAATGCGACGGGGGTCATTTCGCTTGCCGTCTTCCAGTGAGCCCCACCTCTCAGTCACATTGCCAATCACTCTCTCATTCCAATCTCTCATTCCACCTCTGTTCACTCTCCTGCTTCCCTCGCTCTCTTCCAGTGAGCCCACCACTCACTCCCAACCACTGCCTCATCCCCTCCCTCCCCGACCTCATTTCCTCCTGTTGCATGTCTCACCCCTCACCTGAATCAACCACATCAGGAGTGGCAGCGACTACAACATTCGCTACGGTGCCAGCATCCGCCTGACCGCCCCCGGAGCTCCCCTCTCCATCGCCATCCGCACCGGCGCTGCCGGCTCGGCAGACAGCGGCGCGGCCCTTCTCGAGTTCTCCGCCACCGAAGCAGCGTGGGCCAACCTCACTTGGAACGGCACCCGCAGGGACCCCCGCGGCCGCAGGCATGCCGCCCCTATTCCGAAATACTTTGGGTTTTTCAGCCCGGGTGTTCCGTCCGGTTACGTGTATGGGTTCTCTGGGGTTTGGTATAATGCCACGCAGTACAGTAACGCGGCCGGGCAGAGCTATTTCGAGGTGGCGAATCTGCTCTTGGCGAATCCGAGTGGGTACTTTGGGATTGTGAAGACGGAAGCGTTTGCGGATGGAGCCGCCCGCGGGCAGTTTGCAAATTTCACCCGCCCGACCCCCGACACATTCTGGCAGCGCAACTAGAGGCAGGTAGTGTGTAGGTGACTGTTAAGAGGCAGTTTGTAAGACTTACGCTGGTTCTTGTTCAGATGGCCTGAGAAGGGAAGGTGCAGGAATGGCAGCAGGTGGTGGATGAGCATAGGAAAGCAGGCTGGCATACCGTACGCAGCTGCAGACTGTAGGGTTACCAACTTACCACATGGGAGTTGTAGGCATTTTGTAATGAGTCATTGTGGAATGAAGTATGAGTGATTGAAATGAGGTCTTGCAAGCAAGATTTTTGTCTGCACGTCATGATAATAGTGAATGCTCAGGCAGGCATCTGGCTGTCTTGCTGTGCTGGTTACTGGGCTTAGAGTGAGTAGCGGCTTCACAACATTTCTTTATGGTGCATCCGATGAAGCTCTTTCCCTCTGATCCATGGAAGGATTACTCAACTCCACTCCACTCCACTCCACTCCGTCTTGTGCTGTGCGCACTGGTGAGCCCACCCTACTGCATGCATTGCCAGCTTCTTCCCTGGTCGTCGGTGTTTTGCAAGTGACGACCATGTACACGGTAGAACCGCATTTATTGAGAAATGGGGGATTGTTATCAATCCTGGCAGCAACGAATACCACCTCCACCACCGGTAAACACCATCGTACTGTCAAGCAAATTCAATGTGGCTCAGAAATTCCAGGTCTGATTACTTGGCTCTGCTTTTGAGTCGACTCAAAAGCAGTTCCTTGCAGGTGTTATTACTGTACTTGACTCTGCTCATGCATCAGATCTCGCCATCAATCTTCGTCCGCAACAGCTACAGTGGTTTGTGCCCCCTCATTTCCAGGAAAGCGCGCCCTAAGAGCAGCTACATGCGAGTGAGGAAGAGGCCCCCTTGCTAGCAGCAAGTGAGTCGTGTCATTCACCCTCCCTACCCTCCACCCACCACTACCCCCATCACCACCACCACCGCTGCCGCCACCTCCACTGTTGCTCCTTGGGCCACGTGGCATTCGGCTATTGGCTCCCGGAGAGTACGTCAGGAGAGTGAGGGAGGAAACTGCAATGTCGAATCTGTGAGTGAAATTGGGACTGGACCCTATCAGACCCTTCAAGAGGCACTTGATTGCAGTGGAGTGCGAGAAGATGCCGATGCGGTACGGTGGGATGGGAGGAGCGTTGGGCGGCATGGAGCGGCTTTTAGCTAAAAGTGAGGAGGAGCCCGAGACTGCGAGACGGTTGAGAAACTCAACCATTCGGAATTCAACCTGGGAGGGTGGGCGAAGGGGAGTAGGGGGTTGGGGTGGGGGGAAGGGGAGGGGAGGGGGGTACTGAATACCCTACACGTGAAGTGACTGAGCTGCTGCAATGAAACCCATGGACAACACACATACTGCGCTTCAGACACATGATGCGCGGTTTGTGTGTGAATTTATGCCTATTCAACAAATCAAATCAACAGAACTCAAATTCTATGGATCGACGCATTGACTCACCTGCCGCTGTGACTCCCCCCCCGGGCAGAAAAAATCCGGCTGGGCGCTTGTGATTCGTGGGAGAGAGGCGTCAGTGGGGAACACATCTGCCCGATTTTTCCCCTCCCACTGCCCGCAGCTCTGCTCCTTTAATTCATCTGCCTCTCGCATTAGGCTGGGTGGGAAGCCTAGCTCCTGTAAGGGTTGCAGGGGATGCAAAGGGGACATGAATATTGCTACTGATTCGTGACATAAGCAGCAGGTGGTAACCCAGTGATACACATATGGTAACCCTACACCACGCACCTGGCACGTGGCATAAGCAGTCTCCCACGCCCGGGGGATGGGAGAGGCAAACACCTCATCAAACATCACTCCCTGGAACTCCAACAGGTATCGCCCCAAAGCCTCCCCTTGCTGACTTCACCAGGTGGTAACCAATGCTACACACCTGGTAACCCTATCTTACGCACCTGGCATGTGGCATAAGCAGTCTCCCATGCTCTGGGGATGGGAGAGGCAAACACCTCGTCAAACATCACTCCTTGGAACTCCAACAGGTATCGCCCCAGCGCCTCCCCCTGCTCCCTGCCCTTGCTGGTGAGCGGTATAGCGGGTGACTGCCCCCCCACCAGATGAGGAAGGTCCAAAGACTCTGCATGGCTGGGGTGGAGAGGGGGGGGGGGTGTGGAGGGGTGGGGAGGGAGGAGTGCAAGGGAGGGGACAATGGCATGAAGCAGGTATCGCCCCAGCGCCTCCCCCTGCTCCCTGCCCTTGCTGGTGAGTGGTAAGGCGGGTGACTGCCCTCCCACTGGAGGGGGAAGGTCGAGCGACTCTGCATGGCTGGGGGGTGTGCCAGGGAGGGGGTGGAGGGACGGGATGGGATAGGAGAGAGCGGTTACAAAGGGACTTCTGCATGACCGAGCCCGCATGACAAAACCCATGCCACACCATGCCACGCCATGCCTGCCATTCCTACCGCCCCTCCCAGCACCCACTCACCGCACAACATAGAACTCAAAGAGATCTCCTCAGCAAGGCAGTGAGCATCAGGAGGCGCCACCACCCACCCACGCCCGCCCACCATGCGTACTGCTGCAACGAGCCTGCAGCCTGCATCCCTCTCAACCCACACAGTTCCCCTCCCACCCCACTCACCGCACGACATAGAACTCAATGCGGATCTCCTCGGCGCGGCACTGGGCATTGGGAGGCGCCACCACCCACCACGGGTACTGCTGCTGCTGCACCGAACCTGCACCACCATCCCATGCCATCCCTCCTCCTCCCCCAACAATCCCTACCCCTGTCCCCATCCCTGCTCCTACCCCTGCCCCAATCCCTGCTCCTAACCCTGCTCCTACACCTGCTCCTGCTCCTACCACTACCCTCCCACCACCCCCTGCGATTGCCACTGGAGCAGTCATTTCCAGTCCTCTAGGGGACGCTGCAACACTGGACCCGCCTCTGCTACCACTGCCGCTGGCAGCAATAGCGCCACCACCCACCACACCACTCATCACACCACCAACCCCACCAGCAGCCATGTAACCAGCCCCGCCACTCGCCCAGCCAGGGCCACCCGAACTGCCAGTACCGGCGCCGCCGCTGCCCCCGCTTCCACTGGTAGCAATAGCCCCACCAGCAGCGGCCATGTAACCAGCCCCACCACCAACCCCACCACCAGCAGCCACATAACCAGCCCCACCACCAACCCCACCACCAGCAGCCACATAACCAGCCCCACCACTCGCCCAGCCAGGGCCCCCGGAACTGCCAGTACCGGCGCCGCCGCTGCCGCCGCTGCCAAAGGAGCCGCGGCCTCTCCTGTGGAAGGATGCAAGGGCAGGGCTGCTGGCTGTAGCATTAGCCACAGCGTTACACACAGCGTTAGCCACAGGGGGAGCCAGAGCAGCAGGACGGAACTGATGGGGACTGGCAGGAGGGAGGGAGTAGCGCGGACTGTTGACAGCAGGAGAAGCAGCAGCGGCGGCGGCGGCGGCGGCGGCTGCCGCTGCTACCCACGCTATCACCCCGGGCCATCTTCGCCATAATCGAAGCCACCTGCGCTGCCCGCTGCTCCCTCAACCCCTGCTCCCTCCTCATCCTCTCCTCCTCTCCTCCCCTCTCACTCTCCTCGTCATCCTCCTCCTCATCAGAATCTTCCTCGGAATCTTCCTCGCTTAGCTCTAGCACAGCATATGTGTTTTCGTCCTCTGGAGCATCGTGAGGTGATGCAGCGGCGGATGCAGCAGCGGTAGAGGCAGCCGCGGCAGAGGCGGCAGCGGCAGAGGCAGCAGCAGCAGCTGCTGCTTCAGAGGCGACAGCAGTGGCTTCACGTGCAACGGTGGAGAGAGACGCACCTAGCTCCGCCAGAATGCTGAGCCCCAACCCTAGACCCCCGCCTTCCTTGCTTGACCCAGCAGCAGCACCAGCAGCAGCACCAGCAGCGGCACCAGCAGCAGCACCAGCAGCACCAGCAGCAGCAGCAGAAGCAGCAGCAGCAGCACCGTCACCAGTGGCAGCAGTGCTGCCAGCACCACCAGCACCAGCAGCAGCACCAGCAGCAGCGTTACCACCTGTACTCGCAGCAGCAGCACCACCACTAGTAGTGCCAGCAGCAGCAGCAGCAGCAGCAGCAGCAGCAGCAGCAGCAGCAGCAGCAGAGGGAGTCAGGTTATTAGCAGCAGCAGGCTCGGTAGCCGAACCAAAAGCCGGCTGGAACGGCCGAGTCAAAGGGGCGCCCAAGCCTGGACCCCCAGCCCAGAGCACAGGCTTTCCTCCCAAACCTAATCTCGGGCCTGGAGCCATGGTAACACCAGCAAGGATCCCCGTACCTGCACCCCTGCCTCGGCCCAGACTTCCTGGCCTTCCAGGCCTTGCTACGGCTGCCGGAGCTGAGGTGGAGGCTTGGCTGCCGAAGCTGTCAGACTCGGGAAAATCCATGGCTGAAAGCTCATAGGTGCTAACACTGCTGCCGGTAGGGGATAGTGTGCCTGGAGTGCCAAATCCCGAGTCTCCTGATTCATACTCTTCCTCCTCATCCGCATCCTCATTCTCTTTTTCCTCCTCTCTTTCAATCCTCTTCATTTGCTCGCCTTCTCCTTTTCCTTCCTCCCTCCCCTTATCGTTGCCCTCCTCGCCTTTCTCTCTCCCATCCTCATCTTCCCCTCTTCCCACCCCCTTCTCATCGTTTCTTCCCACTGATCTACTCGTTCCCGTGCCCTCATCCACTTCTTTCAACTCCTCCTTCTCCTCCCTCACCTGCCCGTGACTACCATTGTGAAACTCACCTCCTCTTCCACCATTACCCACAGCACTGCCAACACCAGTGCCAGCACCACGAGTGTCACCACCAGCAGCAGCACTGCTTCCCGCATCGTCAGCACCACCAACCGCACCACCATTGGCAGCAGATTTGTTTGCATACATGCTCCCAGTGCGGTCCTCCTCTTCTCGACTGACCATCCTGTCCACTTTACAAGAATCTCCGCTATCCGCCCCAGTTTTTCCACTAGCTTTTCCCAATCTCGTGCTTTCTGAACCGTCGATTTCACTCACTCCGTTCTCCTCCTCCTTCTCCTCCCCCTTCCCTCTCCCCTGCCCTTCATCCTCGGTAGTATCAGGTTCGTCAAGCCCCTCTGAACCGCAACTCTCCTCCTCCTCATCACCATCCCTATTCGCCTTCATAACTTCTCCCTTCACCTCATTTCTATCCTTCATTCCAACCAGCCCATCAGACCCATTATCGGTGCTTCCTTCCTTATATGCTTCGGCTATTCTTATACTCTTACTACGACCACCGCTGCCGCCGGCGCTGCTACTGCTGCTGCTGCTGCTGCTGCTACCAGGTGCCTTGGTCACAATATTCACCCCTCCCCCACCTGACTCCACCCCTTTTACCTCCGCTCCACCACTTCTCTCCTCTGTTACTCTCCTTCCCCCCTCTTCTCCTTCCTTCCTGCTGCCTACTCGACGCCCGTCCCATCCCTTAGTTACTCCCACCCCTCCTGCACCGCTCGCCTCCCCCTCCCCTTCCTTCCTGCTGCCTCCTGCCCGTCCGTCCCATCCCCCAGCCCCTCCCAACCCTCCTGCACCACTCCCTTCCCCCTCTCCACGGGTCTTATTAGGCGGAGATGGGGGGGCATTCGCAATGGCGTTAGCAGCAGCAACAGCAGCTATCGTAGATGGGGAGAGAATAGCAGCAGGACCGTACTCCACTCCCCCCATACCCCCCATACCTCCCAGAATCCCTGCGTTCCCCACTCCACCCCATCCTACCCCTTCTCTACCTTGCACCATCACCTCCGCCTCTCCCCCTTCTCTTCCCTCTTCCCCACCTCCCCTGACCATCTCAGACTCCCTCTTCCCATCCCCCACCATGGGACCTGCTGACGTGGATGCTAAAATTGGCATAGCCACGTCAGCACCAATAGTATTACTCCGCCTGTTAGCTGCGCCAATAGAAGGGCTGGAGGAGCCAGGGCCCATCGACACGGGCAGCTCCTCCTGGCCTCCGTCCGAACCTATACGTGGAGGTTCGGCCCGAACGTGTTCAGCCCGAGCCGAGCCTGCATCTGCCCCGGTTGGGTCCCATCTATCAACAATGCCAGACCAAGCGGGAACCCCAGCTCCGTATTCCCCAAACGTTTCAGGCATAAGCGTAGCCTGCCCAGCTACAAACGGAGCAGCTTCTATCGCGTCTGGAAGTCCTCTACCGTGTGCTTCCGGAAACGAGCTCCCTGGTGCTTGGTCGAGGGTGTACTCGTTATACTCAGCTCCGATTTCGCGAGGATCCCACTGACCGCCGAAATGTTCTCGTAATTCAGCCGGCACGCCTTCTACACCCCCGTATGCCTCCATTCCGTGTCTTAAATACGCCTCATTCCCATACTGCTGCTGCAGGAACTGTTGCTGTTGGTACTGCTGCTGCTGAAATTGCTGCTGCTCGTACGGCAGTTGCTGTCCGTACTGCTGCTGCTGCAGTAGCAGCTGCTGTTGCCTCTGCATTTCGCGGAAATACTTCTCTCTCCGCCGCCTTTCCCGCCGCTCTTGCCGGTCCTCATCTTCGTCGGAATCGGACGGAACCAACACGGACTCCACTCCACCCATTCTGTTAGTTTTCTGTTAGTTTCCCAACTATGGACTCGCACGGACGGTTCGTCCCGAAGATGACACCAACACAGCAGAGTTCACGAGCAGATTTACGAAAAAGGGCGACTCTAATTGGTCGAGTCAGACGGAACCAACACGGACTGCATTCCACCCATCTGCTGACTCCACTCCCGTTCTTTGCTGAACAATGACACGACAGCAGCAACTTCACGAAGGTCCACAGCAGCACCAAGTCTAGCAGTACGGGCGTCGTCAAGCTGACCGTTAATCTAGGAGCCTCCCCCAGGTAGGGCTAATTAGTGATTATTCTCGTGATCCCGGCCTGATATAACAAGTAGTTAGTCAACAATCGCCATTGTGCTGTTTGTACGGGGTTTCTGTGCGGCTAGTAGGTGTATGTGGTGTGGCGTGTGAGTGAAGGTCAACCAGCCGTCCGACATTTGCGCGAAAAAGAGGCCCACAGGGCTCAGTTGGTTGGGTGTGGTTCGGTCGAGTCGAGAACCCGTTCCACCAACCGCACACAAGGTCAACGCCCTCGATTGTACAGTATATTGAAACTCGACTACAGAACATCTAATTCTAAGATACCCGTTAGCTGTATGACATTGCGTTTTGCATAGTTCCTAGGTTGTCATCAGGCGTGAGTAGCGTATATGCCTTCCAGCAGGCCACCAATGATTCAATAAAATACGGGAAACTGATAGACTCCCTTGGCTGCAACTTTGAATATTGTACCTTTGAACCATGAATGGATATTTATTACCAGTAATCTACAGTGCCACTTCATGGCCAGCACGGCCCTCCTATCCAACCTAGAAAAGCAAGTGTGTGTCTAGACTAGAGGAAAGGTAGTGTAAGTTGACAGTACTTGGAATGATACCGGTATGGTTGACTGACAGCCTTCTGCAGGGTTGGGTGTTGACTGTCACGAGCAGGTTTTATTCATATACAGTACCGTAAGCAGGCTAGTGAGTTTGTAAGGAATTCTGGCATCAGCTGGAAGCGTCACTGACTGTTGCTCTCAGGCGTTGGCAGCAACTGCATGGCTGGTGTTGTCTGGAGCCCCTTGGGACTCTGTTCAAACACACAAGCACATAACACAAAGGAGGGGAGGAATATTAGAAGGGGCCCTTCTTCCGACTCCAGTTCCAATTACAAGGCATTTGAATGGTGTTTGGGGGGTCCTATTTGTTAGCTTTCTCAACTGGTTCATATTCCACGTCTAGCACATGGCAAACTATCATACCGTAAGAGACATGTGGCAATCACATAGAAAACCCAGCAGGCAGCAGGGCTCACCTTTCTTCCAGAGCACAGAGGGCCGAGGGGCGTCATTCTTGGCGAGGTAGAGTCCACACGCGTTGCACAGGTGCTGCCCACTGCCCGACCGGTCCTTCCTCCAGAACGGAGTCGTGTGGGTCCCACAGTTCCTGCACGCCTTCTCTTGCTCCTTCTCCTTTACCTTTTCATTATCCTTTCCCCTCTCCTCCGCCTCCTGCTCCTTGCCATTGACACACTCTCCCTCCATTGCTCCACTCTTCCCATGCGTCCTCGGAGATACTGGGCCCTCCACCACCTCGGAACCCACTCCACCGTGCTTTTGCCTTTTCTTCCTCTTCCCCTGCACATCAGCAGCTGCGCCCTCTGCCCTCCCAAGCCTCCTCTTGTCGCCCACCACTCCTGCACCAGCCTCAGCAGCAACCGTCCCCCCAGGGTTCAGAAAGCCAAACACTCCAGCAGCAGAAGCACCGCCAGCACCAGCACCAGCAGCAGCTGCCGCAGCAGCTGCGGTCCAGGGGAAACCGGGGTACTGACCCATGGTGGATGCATAAGCTCTGGCTTGATCGGCGGCAGCAGAGTGGAAGCTGGGGACAGGGGAGATAGCCGGGAGGATGTGAATAGGAGTTGGAAAATGGCTCATCGGACTGATGGTGTTGACGGAGGTGGCTGCGTTGACTGGGTTGACTGCGTTGACCGGACCCGCCTGGCCGCTTGGCTGCTGCGCGGCTGGTCGAATTGGTTGTCCTTCCGCCTTCATATTATGAAGCCCCTCCGTGCCCTTGCTGCACGGTTTCAGCGCGAATGAGACGGTTTGACGGGATGAAGCGCACGCTTCCACAGCAGCAGAGCACGTTGTCGTGGCGCCATTGGACGAGAGCAGAGCTGACGTGTCATTCGACCCGCAGCTCCTACTCGCAGCCTTCCACGGGCGAAATCCCGACGGGAGCCGCTCACGTGGTAACACCTCCACGGGCTTTGCCGCCAACCTCGCCGAGGGGCTTCGCTTGACAGAAGCTTTCGTCGCCACAGAAGAAGGCACGCGGGTGCGAGAACCGTCGCCAGAGAGGGAAGGCTTACTGGCAGCCATTAGACCCTTATTAATTTCCACGTTGACATCAGAAGCGGTACCACCAGCGGCCAGTATGGCAGGTCGCGCGGGGGAAACGAAGGGCGGAGGTCCAAAGCAGAACCACGGCGGCGCATTAGGAACCCACGGCCTCTGTTGCGCACCCATCGCCTGCTGCTGCACCTGACTGGCGGCCGGTGAGTGGGCGAGCAGCACGTGAGATGGAAAGGTGGCGAAAGGAGCCCACCAGCCGGCCGCAGCTGCCGCTGGGTAGGGAGGAATGTGTCCGAAGGGGACCGGTGCTGCTGTTGGCGCGGGGAAGTGAGGAAATGGGGTAGGGACGGAAGGAACTTCCTTGGTTTCTGTCTCCGCTGCGACGGGAAGAGGAACGGTAGACGGCTGCGGCTTTATCGTTTTGGGCTGAGGAACCTTCCAGTGTGAAGACACGTCAGCCGAAACCTTTGTCGATTCAGCAGAAGGAGAGATATGATCGTCGTCTTCGCTTTGGGCCGATGTGGGGCAAGGCGGGCTCAGGCTCAAGCCAATCGGCGGAGAGGTATCATCCTTGTATGAGAGAGCGGTCACGTGGGAAGACTCTGGTGAGGATGAAGGCGAAAGGGAGGGACACTGAGGCGTGGTGGGAAAGAACTGGAACGGCGAAACGGGGCTGCTTTTAACGCTCTTCTTAGCAACTGCGTCCATTTTCTCGAGAAGTGGTGAAATGGGATGAATGTAGGTTGTTTGGGTGTGGTTAGCTGCGCTCCACATGTGATCAAGCTTCTGCCTTTCGTCTTTGGGGCGGAAACCGCGAGATAAGGCAGAGTCAAGCTCAGTCATGAAACCAATTGTGTCGTTCGATGATGAGCTACTAACTCTGAAACAGGCCAGCAGAAGTCGTACAATGCAAGCTCACTTGCCGCAAGGAGAAATGGTGCTTTGGGATATAAAAGGAGGACCTGTGTGGCGTGCCAGGAAATAGAAACTCTAAAACGGTATGCACAAATGAGAAATGAGGAGGCGATCAGTTGGTGATCAACGTTCTACTGTTACCTGCAGCTGCATTCGGAAAGGGAAAGCACGGGCGTGATGTGAAGCAAAGTGAAGATGGGATGACAGTGACAATGACAGCGCAAAAGCAACTCCAAGGGGGATGACGCAATCATCTTCTCGCCTGTCTTCGAGGGAGAAAATCTCGATGCGTCTCGCCACGTCTGCACATTCCGCGTGTGTAGTGCGGCCGTCAATGCCTGAGAGAGCGCCACGCCAGCTATGCTCCCAAGGCTCGCGTGGCAGGCGCTGCGATCGGGCCGACCAACGATCAAGCAACGTAATCGTCAGTGGTCCCGCAAGTGACCCCCTTTCGATTCGTGCTCCGTCCGCACGCGAAATCTGATCCAGTTTAACTGGTACACCTAGCCCGCGCCAAATTCACTAGGGCCATTTTCAACCTCTGTGTAATTATTTCTGATTTACCCGATATTAAAGGGCTGTTTCGAATTCTTTCTTTTTAAAGAGGGTACGTTTCAGACATCTCATACGAGTTAGAGGGGATTAAACCGGGTCGCAATAAACTATGGTCGAGTGGCCGTGGTAAGGGTGCGGTTTTGTTTTAATAGATCGACACTTGGCTGAGTGGTTTGTAGCCTTCAAATTCTGGGAGTTTACTGGTCAAAGCCGAAATCGGGTTCAGGGTGCTTCCCACACAAGTTGCAGGGCGTGAAAATAGCGCGGGCTAGGTGTAATTTTGGAGAAGCGTCCAATCGCTGTTCGAAACTGATCTGGCAATATCCATAATACGAGGGGTCCACGTTGGCAGATGAATGAAAGCATTCATCAAGGTCCTGCCGCCGCCCTTGAGGTTGAATCATGCTTCCGCTCCGTTTCTTCCACAAAACCTTGCGCGCGTGGGACAAAAAGGCAACCATCTTGTGGACGTGCTTCGCTCTCGAATCGCTCGTCGAATAGGAAGAAAGATCTTCTGCTGACCAGGATTTCCAATGGCTCTTGTTTCTCGAAACCTGAATGGAAGAAGGATCGAAGCTATGCCAAGTCCGGTAATGAATCTGGCTTGTAACAGCCCCCATCTGACGTGTACTCTTAGAACCCAATGTGGCGGCACGTCTGTGCGCCACATGAGCGTTCGGCAACCTTGAAAGCAGATGGATTGATCTTGCAACGTTCATGCTACCCCAATGTACCGTCAGCTCCACCTTATCGCGATGACGTGGATTTCCCTGGAGTTTCAAGAACCTCATCACGGAGGGTTGGAGTGAGAAGCCGAAGCGGGAAGGTACAGTAATACGAGTTGTGTATAATATTCACAAAACAGGGCAGTATACGGTAAGTTTCAGAGCAATATACTATCTACGGTTTGGCTGGTTGTCAGCCCAAGGAAGGAAGTTGGACAAGTGACTGATCAGGGAAACCTGTGAGACCACGTCCCTCGCCCCTCTAATAGCATTCTTTGTGCTTCTTGCAGCTGAAGCAATAACTGGAGTCACCGAGGGAACAGGTACCACCGCTCTCTCCTCAATAATTGCTGTCATGGCAACAATAGTGAGGAAACACGATGAGACGAGGGGAGAACAGAAGCAGTCATAAACCAAAAAATAACCCCATAATCAATTGAATCAACTACTGAAACAAAGAGAACTAGCCATCGACGACAACCTTCGAGATTAGTCACTCAAACCTCTCAGGAAACTCCTACCTGCTGTGCGTGAAGCTGCCAAGCTGCCAACTCTCCGCAACCCATCCTCGGCGAGCCGCACTGCACGAGCGGAATTCCTGATCCCTTGCGATATCTCCTGGCTGCATTTAGAGAAACGGCAAAAGTTATGACAAAGATCGATTGTTTAGGAACCCACAAACTGCCTGTGGTTATTTGGACTAACTCCAACGCGTCCAGTGAAAATGAGAGGACACTTCTCCACATGACTGTCCACCTGGACTGGACAGAGCAAAGGCCACCTGAAAGCACCGGATTCCCAAGAACTCATCTGAGAGTCCCCTTGGCTTACCTGAGATCGCTCAGCTCCATGCTCAGGTTGTTCATCTCCATGCCCGACAGCCGAACAGCCGCCATTGTCGCTGGCACCTTTTTCCACTAAGTGTGGCCTCCTCCGCACAACAGTCGGCTCCTCCCAACCTGGCACTCCTTGATCTGGCGCTCACCTGAGGTCGCTCAGTCCCATGCCTGACAGCCGCACAGCCCGCATACACCTCGCCATGCACTTCGCACCTGACCTGGCCACGCGCTCACCTGAGGTCACTCAGTTCCATGCTCAGGTCGCTCATCTCCATGCCTGACAGCCGTACAGCCGTACAGCCGCCATATCCCTGGCACCAATTCCTCCCTCCCTCCACCTGTCCTGGCCATGTGTGCTCACCTGAGGTCGCTCAGCTCCATGCTCAGTTCGCTCATCTCCATGCCTGACAGCCGCACAGCCGCCATCGTCCCTGGCACCTCCTCCCTTGCCACCTCTGCTAGCAGCTCCAACGCCTGTGCTGCCTTGCGGATCGCCTGTGGGGCACGATGGGGGAAAAGGCCAGCGAGTGGGAGACGTTATGTGCGAATGGGTGCTGCGCTCTCAGTGTGTTCCCATGCCGTTCTCAATATGCACTCACGCCCTTCTCAATATGCACTCACGCCCTTCTCAATATGCACTCACGCCCTTCTCAATATGCACTCACGCCCTTCTCAATATGCACTCACGCCCTTCTCAATATGCACTCACGCCCTTCTCAATATGCACTCACGCCCTTCTCAATATGCACTCACGCCCTTCTCAATATGCACTCACGCCCTTCTCAATATGCACTCACGCCCTTCTCAATATGTACTCACGCCGTTCTCATGTGCTCACCAGAAGGGCTGGCACAGCAGCAACGAGCATGACAGAGAGCGCCGCTGTGATCTGCATACAACCGCGGTACGGGGGAGAGGACAGGGCATGGGAGGGGACAGGGGGTGGGGGGGAATGAATGACGGGCTTTGGGGCATGCGGTGTTTGCTGGCACGGCGGCAACGAGCATGACAGAGAACGCTGCTGTGATCTGCATGCCACCGCGGTACCAGGGAGGCGACAGGGCAGAGGGGAGCAGGGAAGAATGAAGGACGGGTTCTCGGCCTTGCAGGGTTTTCGGGAATGGAACAAACGAAGGAAAGAGGTGATATATGCGAATGGACTACGTGCACTGTGATGAGCAGTTGCAAATATCTCCTACAATCCGCAGCCTTTTTTCCTTATTCCTTGAATGCATGTAGGTTCCCGAGCACACAAAAAAACACACACACGCATCCCCCGAGCCTACGGTCCGAACCTGTATCACTGAGCCCGCCCTTCAGCCCCGTACATACCGAGCATGCCACGAAGCCCAGGCAGAGCACAGGAAAGTCGATCGGCGCTCCTTCCGCCCCAAATCTTATTGGCGGAGCCGCTGAGATCGACGCCATGTGTTGCGACGCAGTTGGTCGCGATGCTGACGTGGCTGACGGATAACCACCATGGGACGCAGATTCAACGCGGCGGCTCGAAGAGGACGGTATTTGTCCGAAAGATGCGAAGGTTCCGGTATTGGTGTTGGTGTTGGCGATCGCGAAAGTCGCACGGTTAGCGTTGACGGAATGGTTGTCGTCGGCAAAGGATGAAGGGTCAGTGTTGCTGCGGATGGACGTTGACGGCGAGTTGACGGACGGCAAGTTGTTGACGGAACGCGGAGGCGAAATGCCGGAAGAGGCTTGGTCATGGAGGAATGCGGCGGCGCTTGCTCTGCGATGGTTCGAGCGCCGCCAGGTGTCGCGGGAGAAAGACGCGACGTGTGCGACGGAGGAAAACAAGGGTTGACGAAGACGAGACGAATGAGCTGACGGACATCGGAGCGACGCTTGCGCATGGCCGTGACAAGATAACAACGGATGGCTTCCCTGCCGCGATGCTGCTGTTGTTGCAGCACGATCTGCTATTATCGAATGCTGTAGAGTACCCTGCGTGGATCCAAGAGCCTTAGCCGTTGGAAGAGAAACGGCTTTAAAAGGCGAAGCCATGGCTATTGATCTAGCAGACGCGTTACTTAATCAGACGCAGCGCCAGTGGATGCGTGCAGCCGCAGAGTGGGAACTCGCGGTGGTCTTAAACGTGGCACTGCGTACGGGCTAACGAAAAGAGGAAAGTAGTCCTAGTGTAGCCGTTGTTCGGCCAGAATCTGCTTCACGAGACGGCCTCGAGATAAGGTGGTGTTTCCAAGACGGATCTCCAATGCTTGTGATACAAAACAATGGCGGAGCTGAGGGCTATGATCTAACTTTTCCCGAATTCGAAAATCTCGCGTTCAGCATGGAAGTCGCTTCAGCGCCTCTGATTCGGAAACCTCGCGTTCTGCGTTCTAGATCCTCGAGTCAAAACACAAGGGAGCTGTTGAAAGGACAAGCTCGCTCGCACGATAGACTGCAATGCCAGAGAACCGAAAGGGAAAAGAGAAAATAGACAACCCAATCCACTATCAGCCAGCCACAATCCACTTTATCCCAGGCCAGATATAACATTGGTATGTACGCTTTGGGAATTGATCAGACTGGGGCCCCGGGTTAGCAGAAACAGTGCCAACTTGGGGCCTCGTGAGTCGCGACCCTACGAAATAGGCCCGAAGCAAATCACAAGACTGGGCAGCAGGTCCGAACCTGGCAAACTCGCCAGGTCACCACCTACTGCCTTGGGTTTGACGGAAATCGCTAGCACCCCACACCGCTGGAAGCACAACAATCCGTCAAACCAACACAGTCTGATCGAGATACAGCACAAGCAGCATGTAACAAACAACTCGGAATTATTACGGAAACATAAGACTGCCAGAACACAAAGAGCTGAAACATGAAAATTAATAAAATGAGTGGGCACAAAATGGGGAGGTTCATGACCTTTTTCTGTTAGAGAAATTTCAACCAACCTACCCACATTCTTTCAGAATATGTATACATACATATATGATTTACATGCAAGTGCTTCCCTTGTAAAATCTTCGATGAAAAATCTTCTACCGTATTCCCCCGGATATACCACCCTAGGGTGCTATGATAACTACACAAAAAAAAGGGGGGGTCTTGTCATCGGAAAAAGCTTCATTGCACCCGGGTCTTTACATAATGTGTATTTTTTTTATAGCGTAAAACGATTAGTACTAAATGTACATCTGTATTTTTGTTTTACATCTGTACTAAATCGTTTTACGCTATAAAAAAAATACACATTATGTAAAGACCCGGGTGCAATGAAGCTTTTTCCGATGACAAGACCCCCCCTTTTTTTTGTGTAGTTATCATAGCACCCTAGGGTGGTATATCCGGGGGAATACGGTAGAAGATTTTTCATCGAAGATTTTACAAGGGAAGCACTTGCATGTAAATCATATATGTATGTATACATATTCTGAAAGAATGTGGGTAGGTTGGTTGAAATTTCTCTAACAGAAAAAGGTCATGAACCTCCCCATTTTGTGCCCACTCATTTTATTAATTTTCATGTTTCAGCTCTTTGTGTTCTGGCAGTCTTATGTTTCCGTAATAATTCCGAGTTGTTTGTTACATGCTGCTTGTGCTGTATCTCGATCAGACTGTGTTGGTTTGACGGATTGTTGTGCTTCCAGCGGTGTGGGGTGCTAGCGATTTCCGTCAAACCCAAGGCAGTAGGTGGTGACCTGGCGAGTTTGCCAGGTTCGGACCTGCTGCCCAGTCTTGTGATTTGCTTCGGGCCTATTTCGTAGGGTCGCGACTCACGAGGCCCCAAGTTGGCACTGTTTCTGCTAACCCGGGGCCCCAGTCTGATCAATTCCCGTACGCTTTCGCACTAAACCTTACCCAAACATAGACCGCTCTGAATCAAGTTTACAACTTTTTCAACCGCATTCAGATTTAGTGTTTGGACCTGTCATAACAAGCAGCTCGGGCAGGCGCACAGCCGTGAAAGCACTACAGTATTGATGGATGAAAGTAGATCTCAGCCACACAAATTCTGTGGAGAAACTGAGACCAGTATTGGAGCGCGTTTGGTTCATCCGATCGTTCCGGCAATTCGCTGTTCGGCTGGTCTGCTTCTTGTTGTGAGGGGACGGGAGTCAGCAACCGTGGCTCGAAGTGTGCAGTGCTTGGGGAAATCTCCTGCGTTTAGCGAGCAGTTCGTCCACTATTTTTCATGAAATACTCCCTGGAAATTGGTCCGCACAGGGAGGGAAGGCCAAGCGACAAAGGATGTGCTGGCAAACACCCTTGCGCGTGTCAGCAGTCGGATAATCAGCTCGCCGCATTCAAAGGCGACCAACGGAAATCAGCCACGTCAGTTCCTAATGGTATTGTACCATGTCAGAGACACGAGAGCCACGGTCAACAAGAGAAGATTCTTTCGAAAAATCACAACTCTGTTGTTAGAAAACACTGTTTCGTATTTGAAAGATGTGTGAAATTTTCGCAGTGTTCAGTTTGTTGAGTTCTCCAACAACAGCTATTGCACTCAAGCACATCAATCACCTAGGGTAGTGCAGCATGTGTTATACATCAATCGGCGGAGGTCCTATACGACCTGTCCATTATCCCTACCTCGGAAACAATATTGATGTTATATCCATATGCCAGTCGTATAAACACAGATATATCATATACCCCCTCCATCATTGCTTTGAACTCTTGGATGTCAAGTGGGTTTTCTAGTATGTAGCATACCGTACGTCTTACTCCACTACACCAACGAAATTAGAGTGCTTTGCCTTCTTGGTGTTTGGGACATCATTCATGCCCTTTGAATAAGGAAATAGCAGCAGCTTGCGGGCTTGTAAATACGTACACATAGCGAAGAGCAGAGTCCAACACGATTTCACTCCTGGGGGGTATCACGCAATTGTGACATTCCACAATGGTGACAGTCATTGTAGTCATTAGGAACTGGCTTGCTGGACAGAGGATATACTATGTTACTGCAGTCATCAGCTGCGTTCACACCTTCAGAGGTTTGTTTCCCTTCGTGTGGGCTCCTCGCTCCTTGTCCAATACCCTATTACTGCACGTATGCATGCGCGCCAAAATGTTCCTTACCGTTATTGATTTACGTGGTACATTGGCACACACGTAGTTCCTGGAAGAAAGAAAACCGGTTTTAAATATAAAGAGTAGCAAAAGCATGTCTCGAGCACCCTGCTGCACAAGTTCACGACCAGACGCAATCAATCACGTCAAGTTTACGACCGTCAAATGACAGTGCTGGATATTCACAGATACTCTGTAAGGAGCCTAAGCACTTGGCTAAATGCAGAACATGGCTCGGCATTAGGTTGGAAGCCTAAAGGAACGGAAAGAAGTACCGGACGGATAACCCACCGCACGGGGTCAGCGAGCAGCCCAGACTGTTATATGGCCTGGTGTTATGTGTCAGTATCGAAAAACCTAAGATCACCTTAGAAATCACAGTCATGCCCTTTGTAATCTCATTGCATGGCACAAGCATCCACATAGCTGCATTCGTGTGAATCCTCCATGTCGCATTTCCCGTCACTGGAGGAAGAGAGGGACAGGCAACGTTGCAATGGAAGAGTGCGATTGGTTATGAAGTCGTGTGGCTAAGAGTGTTCCGGCAATGGAATCTGAAGATGCTTCGGACTGCTAGAAAATCAACTGTATGTGCTGGAAAGTTCGGGTCGGTAATGTCACACTGATGGGAGAGCCAAATTTTGTAGTTGACAAGAGTGTGAATCTGTACCTTGGGTCGTACTCTCGCACTGATGTGAGCGCCAAGCCAAGCTCATCTCGCCATCGTAGCTTCCTCTGCCGATGACTTTTCGCGTGAGTCTCCCGTTCCAGCGAAGCTGCGGCTGCTGCTGCTGCTCTCGCGATCAAGACAGGAGAAGTCACGCCTGAACATGCCTGTTTTCCAAAAACGGGCGCTATCAAAGGTCGCATCGCGTCGACAAGGATTGGGGAGTTAGCTTCGTTGTAAGAATGAGCTGCTTCGAGGAAATCTAGGCACGCTGTGGCTCCAGATTCAGATTCGTCGCCTCGCAGTTCTGTTGAGCCCCCGCAGCAGGGGATGATAGAAGGCAAGGAGAAAGGGAATAGAGTGGGCGGAGCCAACAACCAGGTTTCAGTGAGAGCGAGAGTCATGTTCGCTGACGGGATGTGATACTACTCTGTCAGGCACTTTTCCGTCTCCAAGGGTTAGTCTGCAGAGCATTTACCAGCCTTGTTCGTGTCCCCGACTAGATTCTCAAGGTACAATAACCATCAACTTCGCATGACAACGAAGAGAGGTATCAGAAATGGCTGAACTGATGAAGGTGGAGGCAGGAAAATGAATAGGAGGAGCTGGTAGACTCTCAACTGGAGGAATTCGGGGAAGAAAATGGCGGGAACAATTTCACGCACTTGATTGACAGCAGCTGTGAAAGCGTTGAGGCCTGCTTGGAAATCCCGCAAGGGTTCCATCACAAATTCAGCTCAAAAATCGCCGCGTCTCGAGATCACATTTTGAAACGGAAGGTGATTGCACGTGTGACGTAACAGCTGGTTGCGAGAGGGGGTATAAATGACATATCTCGACCAATCAGAATCGTGTTTCCGACGAGCGGCTCCAAGAATGTGTCGCGATTCGCAATTCCTGCTTTGTAAGGGCTTCAATTCGAACCTCAACGGCATCACCACCTTGGCGGGAATGTTGCAACAGTTGCACTTTCGCAAAAGCGCTTGTTAAATTATTCGCGAGTCGGGAAACCTTTGGTGTCTGTAAATTTTTGTTTTGATTTACATTTCACATCTCAGAAGGAAATGTAGAATCTTAACTTGTTTAACGAGTTTACTATTAATGGAGATAACTGACCAAGATTCCTCGCTTTCACAGCTGGAACTGGCTGTGTGGACTGAAATCTCGAGCATGCAGTGACCGCGCCTCGTATATACAACTGCTCGGAATCCAGGGACATTGTCTGTGCCATTTGAGTGTGTGCTTGAAGGCATCTCAACTGGGTACTGATTTTGCTGATGGCGAGAAAACTAAACGCCAAGTCGCACAAAGCCCGTTGGGATGACAATGCCAGCCCGGCGTATAGATGCAGGCCAGAACGACTTAGCAGTGCAACCAAATATGCGTCGGCGTGCACCTTGAACATATACTTACCCGTCCTTATATTCTTACATGTACTCGACATTCGGCCAAATGTCGTGACTCTCCAAGTTATCGCTCGCCCAAGCGTTGCACTCGGTGAACTTACCTGTGAAGGCTCTTTCCGGACGGCTAACAGAGCCAGCGCTCGCAATCCAGCTGCAGCTGTTGGGAACTGAGCACCATAGAGCTCTCCGTCAAGCTACCCATTGTTTAGTTCGCTAGATCCTCTGGTTGCAACAAGCTGTCCTCGTCAGTTCTCCACGTCAGCTGTCATAAGAACTCATTTACAAACAGACACCCTTTGAAGCACTCAGCCGTTGCCCCCAATCTTTTTACCAGGCGCTGGCTGATCCCTTCATTGTAATGACCCTTAGAGGCCGCCCGTATCCCGCAACCATGACTTCCGATTGCAAGCCGCAATACTGTAAACGTTCTTTCCTTTACAGGCGCTGACTGCTCTTTTCGATGTAATAACACCTAGAAGCCGCCCCAGTTCCGCGACCATCACTTATGATTGCTAGCCGCATCATTGTCTGGACGTTTTCTTTCCTTCCGCATTACGCCACTGGTCATTGCTCCAGCCAGTGGGCCCCAGGGAAAAGCGAGCCTCTTCGATCAGCTCAAAGAGAATCCTGCTCTCGACAAAGGGGCGAAATCGTGGGCATCAAGCAACAGCGGCGATCCTGTCCCGAAACGGCACTCCTTGGTCTGATTATCAATGGGACCTGGTCCAATAATCCTATTAGTCTATGCGCTGGCGAACCAGCACACCAGGTGTAATTATCGCTGTGTCCTGGACCTAGCTGGCAGAGGAATAAGGACGACACTCAGACCTATCTCCTTGAGCCACGTCGTTGATTCCGTATCCACCGCCTATATCCGTAGGCCGCGGCTGAATCCAAGATCGCTGATTTTTATCAAAAGTTCAGGTTATCAGAAGGTTCTAAAATCTCTAGGTGCTGGAGTTCCTGTCTTAACTCAGCTTGCGCTTTTTTTTTGGGAATACCTAGACCAATTCCGAAGATCTGTTCTACCTTGAGTCTCTCCTTGCCCTCTTCGCTCAGCCCGCGGCTGACTCCCGAGACAGTCAATGCTATTTGATGTCTCGTATGGGTCTTCCTTTCTTCAAGGATCTCTTTACCCCTTCTGTGCCTCTGGCCAGCAGTGACGATTGAGAAGCCTTCAAGGCAGTACCTACCTTTCGCTTCACCTTTGAAAAGCTTGAAGCCTGGTTTGAAGTGCGAGAAGCCATGGATTCCTTTAAGGTGTACATTTCAGAGGAGGAGGATTGCTTGTCTCCATCCACCCTCCCCTCCGTCTCCCCGCCTTCCTCGCCGTCATCTCCGGGGTCATGGCTTCGCGGTCCCCTTCTCGGCTGCGGAGCCTTCGGGAGCGTCAGCCTCGCGATTGACGGCACAACCGGCCACCTGATGGCCGTAAAGTCGGTGACGGCTAGCAGCGAGAGCGACCGTCAGCAGTCGCGGGAGTTGGATGCGCTGGAGAACGAGCGGCAGATCCTTCAGAAAGTGAGCTCGCCGCGGGTGATCGAGTGCTACGGCGCGGATTGGTCTGAAGAAAACGGCGTCAAGTCGAGAAATCTCCTCCTAGAGCTCGCTTCAGGCGGCTCTCTGGCCGATCTGCTGAAGAAATTCAACAAAGGCGACGGCTTGGACGAGATTCTGGTTCGGAGGTTCACGCGGGGAATCACGGAGGGGCTTCGGGACTTGCACGCGCGCGGGATCGTGCACTGCGACGTGAAGGGACAGAACGTGCTGCTGTGCAAATCTGGCGTGAAGCTCTGCGATTTCGGCGCGTCGTTTCAGCTCGACTCGCCTGGGTCGTCGAGGGATTTGTCGGGAACTTCGCCGCGAGATTCGCCTCAGCCGCTGGATGTTAGCGAAGATCGCGAAGCCAGTGTTACCAGGGACGCGCGAGCTCGCGAAGCCGGATGCGCAAACGTTGCGGGGAAGGCGAATCTGGCGGGAACGGCGGAGCGGAAGCAGATGAAAGGGACGATCTGCTGGATGGCGCCGGAGGTGGTCGCGGAGAAGGGCGCGACTCCCGCGTCTGACGTGTGGTCTCTGGGATGCACCGTTATTGAGATGCTCACGGGACGTCCGCCATGGGTTTCCAAGGAATCCGTCACGCAGAATCGCCAATCTCCGAAGTCGTTCATGTCGGTTCTGTACAAGCTTGGCTGCTCCGTAGAAGTTCCTGAATTTCCGGCGAGGATTTCCGCTCAGGGACGGGATTTTCTGCTGAAATGCCTGGATCGCGATCCGGACGGACGGTCGTCGGCTGAGGACCTGCTGCAGCATCCGTTCATTCGAGTTGCATCAGGCGAGAGCGATGTTGCTCTGACGGATCAGTTGACGTGCAGCCATGACACAGGGACAGATGATTTCAACTTTTTCACCAGCACTCCCGGGGATTCAGATTTCAACTGCGCAGATGAGGACAGTGCTGCTGCTCATGGTGCAGACTGCTTGATCGCTGGTAGCTTCAACATGCAGCGTGGTAAAGCAGCATCTGGGATCATCAACACCAACAACACGACTCCAGTGGACCATCCCCGTCCAGCCTTCACCATGCCTCCGCCTCTCAATCTCTCCTTTGATTTCACCAGCGAGCCGAGCGTTGGACCCTTGACAGCACGTGGGGAAGGTCCCAGCTGCTTTGAAGGTTTCTTCAGCCCGACCAGCTTCAACCACAGTCCGACATCTGTGGATGATTCGCCGAATGCAGGTGCCGCTGGCACTGTGGACCATGCTGCATTCAAACTATTCGACAATGCATTTGCTTCTTCTTTCCTCTCGGGAACACCCTCTCCGCATCTCCTCTCTCCACTGCACGAGGTTGCACGTGCTTTCGGTGCTGGTTCCTTCTCAGACCAGCTTTTCCCATTAAACAAGCTTTCTCCAGGAAGCCCTTCAGATGAGCCTTTGTTTCCTCCTGCACGCTCAGCACCTGGGTCCTTCCATACTTCCCCTCAGCCTTCAGCATCTCCTGCAGCCGCGCCACTGGTTACCTCTTCCTCTCTGTTTTCTCTCTTTCAAGACTTGAGCTCTCGTGAGGAGTCCACTCCTGCTCTGCCTGCAAGGGCGTTCCCTCTAGTTTCTGAGATTTCTCTTTCTCCCCAGCCTAACGGCTGTGATTTGTCGATGCAAACTCGGGATTCGTCACCAGCAAGCAACGATACTGCTGGGCGTGATGCTGACAGCCGCTGCTGCTGTGTGATTGAGAATAATAGCAGCCAGATTCCTTCGTGGAGATCTGCACCTTCTGCGCTTGGTGTTGAAGAGTCAAAGTTTACAAGTGCTTTTGATAAGCAGACCTTTTGGAGGGAAGTTGGTCAGATGTCAAGGGTTCTTTTCAGGGCGGAAGCTAGTGTGGGTTAATTGTACAGTGTACATAAGCCAAGCAGCGAGAAATCATTGTTGTATGATTATTGTTATCGATGTTGGTATCTTATACACGATCAGACTTTGAGGAAGACCAACATAAACAGGGGTATGACAAATATACACATTACTACACCCTTACCACAGTTTGTATAGAAGATTGTACATGGTGTGCATCACCATAGCCTCCCCAACATCTCCATAAAACATCCCATTCTTGGTGCCTTCTTTCCCCTTATGACAAGTGTAGTGCCGATCCTTGACACTACATGTATCAAAGTACCTCGGGATCTCCACCGGCCACCCATCCAGATACCCAATACCATACCGCCGAATCTCCGTCTTGATCATCCCATTCATGTGCTCGATAAGCAAGTTAGTCGGAACCAAAACCCCGCAGTCGCCGTACGGCTTCCAAGGGACAATACTCCGGTATAGCATCCATGGCTTCCCGTTAGTTCCTGTCGGAGCTTCATTAACGCTGCTGTGTTTTGCGTGCCACTTTTGCAGCCTGTCGAGTTGGCGCCTGGCCCAGGCGACATATGCGGGGAGGTGTTTACTGAAGGCTTGTTCCGGCTGGAAGCAGTTACAGGTTGCCCAGAAGCCACCGTCGATTATTGTCACATCGGCAGAAAGGGACAAATCAGGGAAGGTGGTGTTGCGGTGTGACCAGAACCCTCGGCGGCTGCAGAGGAAGGGAGAGAGGTATGGAGGAAGAGAGAGAGTTAGTGTTAGTAGGGAGGTAGGGAGGGGGACATGAGTCGGTGCGACGGTGGAGAGGAAAAAAGCGGCAAAGCAATGACAGGTCTTGAGACGTCCGACTAGGACAAGAACAAGAAGAAACAAGAAGGGAAAACAAGAACAAGAAGAAACAAGAAGGGAAAACAAGAACAAGAAGAAACAAGAAGGGAAAACAAGAACAAGAAACAAGAAGGGAAAACAAGAACAAGAAACAAGAAAAGAAAACAAGAGCAAGGAACAATAAGGGAACACAAAACAAGAAGGGAAAACAAAACAAGAAGGGAAAACAATGGAATGACAAAAGGGATGGTCCAGACAATGGAATGACTTACGTGCATCCATACTCGTCGTTATGGTACATTCCATCCACCCAGTAGAAATTCATTTTCAGCGGCTTTAAGTCCGTCCTCCCCTTGGGCGGCGGGATGTTGATCACAATATCTCCGTGGAACTTCCAGAGGGCGTCGTCGACGTCGTGCATAACGAGGTAGTTTATAAAGAGCATGAGGAAGCGCTGGTGTGAGTCGCCCACAAAGTTGATCTCCCGAATGCCCCGCGCCTGCAGAGCCTCAACCCACAGCGATGGGGGTGGCAGAGGCGACGCACACGGGTAGAAACGCCACCTGCAAGAGAAAAAGGAAGGGGGAGAGGGGGTAAGGACAGAAGCCAAAAGATTCCGATTTAGGCACGGGTTGAGGCACACGGGAATAAGTGCCAGCTGGGAGAGAAAAAGAGGGGGGTAAGGACAGAGGACAGAGGCAGAGGTAGCTTATAAAGAGCATGAGGAAGCGCTGGTGTGAGTCGCCCGAAGAGAAACGCCACCTGGGGGAGAAAATGAAGAGGAGGGGGGGTTGACGGACGGAGGGCAGAGGTAGTTCATAAAGAGCATGAGGAAGCGCTGTGCGAGTCGCCCACAAAGCTGATCTTCCGAATGCCCCGCGCCGCCAGCGCCTCGCGACGGCGGGGGCAGCAGCGAGGGAAGGGAGGCACACGGGAAGAAGCGGCATCTGTGGGAGAGGAGAGGGAAGGGAGAGGAAGAAAGGCAGGGCGGCTGACTAAGGCAAGAGGTGAATGCCAGTGCCTCCACCTGTTGAGGCACTGGCGGCTGACTAAGGCAAGAGGTGAATGCCCCGCGCCGCCAGTGCCTCCACCCGCCGCGATGGGGGAAGGAGCGGGGACGCGCACGGGTAGAAGCGCCACCTGCCATGGGAGGAAGGGAGAAGGCGGATGGCACAGGGCCTGATCAAGGCAAGAGGTGAATGCCCCGCGTCGCCAGTGCCTCCACCCACCGCGACGGGGGAAGGAGCGGGGACGCGCACGGGTAGAAGCGCCACCTGCCATGGGAGGAAGGGAGAAGGCGGATGGCACAGGGCCTGATCAAGGCAAGAGGTGAATGCCCCGCGTCGCCAGTGCCTCCACCCACCGCGACGGGGGAAGGAGCGGGGACGCGCACGGGTAGAAGCGCCACCTGCCATGGGAGGAAGGGAGAAGGCGGATGGCACAGGGCCTGATCAAGGCAAGAGGTGAATGCCCCGCATCGCCAGTGCCTCCACCCACCGCGACGGGGGAAGGAGCGGGGACGCGCACGGGTAGAAGCGCCACCTGCCATGGGAGGAAGGGAGAAGGCGGATGGCACAGGGCCTGATCAAGGCAAGAGGTGAATGCCCCGCGTCGCCAGTGCCTCCACCCACCGCGACGGGGGAAGGAGCGGGGACGCGCACGGGTAGAAGCGCCACCTGCCATGGGAGGAAGGGAGAAGGCGGATGGCACAGGGCCTGATCAAGGCAAGAGGTGAATGCCCCGCGTCGCCAGTGCCTCCACCCACCGCGACGGCAGGGGCAGCGGTGAGGCACACGGGTAGAAGCGCCACCTGTGAGAGGGTAGGAGAAGGGTGGAAAGAGGGAGGGCAGAATGGACTATTAAAGGCGGGCAGAGGGCCTGATAAGGCAAGAGGTGAGGCCGTGGGTAGAAGCGCCACCTGTGAGGGGAGGAGGGTAGAGGAAGAAGGGAGGAGGGTAGAGGAAGAAGGGAGGAGGGTAGAGGAAGAAGGGAGGAGGGTAGAGGAAGAAGGGAGGAGGGTAGAGGAAGAAGGGAGGAGGGTAGAGGAAGAAGGGAGGAGGGTAGAGGAAGAAGGGAGGAGGGTAGAGGAAGAAGGGAGGAGGGTAGAGGAAGAAGGGAGGAGGGTAGAGGAAGGAGGGAG